CCTGGCTTTGGATCAGCCCAGTTCTGGCCGTTGCGGCCATTTGGGGAGTGAACTAGCAGGTGAAAGGCCTCTCTCTCTCTCTCTCTCTCTCTCTCTGTTTCTCCCTCTGTAACTCTACCTCTCAAATAAATAAATAAAATCTTTAAAAAAAGAAGAAGAAGAAGGCTCGTGGCTTCGACTGGCTTAGCCAGAGGGACGTCTGTGGCTTTCCCAGCACCGTGTGAGCGAGGGCAGATCTAGGGCTGGTCCGGCAGCTTAGTGGGGTTCTCATGGACTTGAGCTCTTTCTTTTTCACTCAGTTGTTTTGTTGTTTCATCCTTTGGCTTGTTGCCTCATGGTCCCAATATAGCTGCTGCAGTCTCAGCATTGCACCACTGAAAAGCAGGAAGAAGGCACTGTGGCATAGTAGACTAAGCCTCTGCCTACGGCGCCAGCATGTCATATGGGCACTGGTTCATGTCCTGGCTGCTCCTCTTCCCATCTAACTCTCTGCTATGGCTTGGGAAGGTAGTGGAGGGTGGCCCAAGTCCTTGGGCCCCTGCACCCACATGGGAGACCTGGAGGAAGCTCCTGGCTCCTTGGCTTCAGATTGACCCAGCTCTGGCCATTGCAGTCATTTGGGGAGTGACCCAGCACATGGAAGACCTCTCTCTCTGTCTCTGTCTCTCTCTCTTTGTAACTCTGCCTGTCAAATAAATAAATCTTTTTTAAAAAAGCAGGAAGAAGAGGGTACTGCCCTTTCAATCTGAGTGTTGAGAAGCTTCTCAGGAAACATCCCGTTATAGTTCATTTTCCTGAGTCACATGACTGTGGACTGCTCCCAAGAAAGCGGAGAAAGCAACTCTTTTCTGCCTCTGAGGGGAGAGAAATGAGAGGAGATGGTGTTGATTGGCTTCTGCGGAACCAACCACAGTGGATGCCTCTAGCCCCAAGATAAGGTATCGTGGAAGGGAGGAGCCAGGAGCCACCCGCTTGCTGTGTGACCTTGTAGCCATCACCTCGCCTCTCTGAGCCTGTGGCCTTATCTCTAGGGTGAGGCTTTGGATTCACTAGATGGTCTCTTTCTGCCCTACCACCTCTGATTTTGTTAAAACCCCTTTTGGGCACTGGATGCGCTGTCCAGTGGTAAGTAATTAGTTTAATGAGGTCCAGTTTGGCTAAACAGCTGTGGCCCTTCTTCCTGAAGAGGTAGGGTGTGCTAGGCCGAAGGGGCTGCTCCAGTCCCCACTGGCTGTCTCTGTCCTGGCCAGGCGCGGCCAGCCCGAGGGCAGGCAGTGGCAGGCAGTGTGGGCTCCTGAGCCCCGCCCCCCGCCCCAGCAAGCTTTGCTTCTTACGGCTTGCTTCCACCTGCTCTGGTCGGGATGGAGCTTTTTTCTGAGTACTTCTGAGAGTCCTGTCTTCAGTTCAAGCCACGGCAAAGACTCACAGGCGACTGTGCGCGTTAATCCAATTCCTACACAATGGAGGAGCCGCCCACGTGGGTGAGGAGGGGGCGGTGGGGACAGAGGTGGGGTGAGGCGGTCAGTGCAGCGGGGCCGAGGGCGGGGGAGAGAGCGTGTGAGCTGGGCGAATTCTCCAGAGGGTGGTGTGTGAGTAATTGGTTTTTGTGTTTAATGGGGAACTGAATTTTCCACATTGTTTGATGTAGGGTAACGTGGGAATGACAGCAAACACATAACACTGAAAGTGTTACTAGATTCAAATCCCAGAGCCACTACTTCCAATTGGTATACTCTTGTTTATTTTTTTTAAAGATCTATTTTATATCTTTGAAAGACAGAGTTACAGAGAGAGGTAGAGACAGAAGAGAGAGGTCCTCCATCCGCGGGTTCACTCCCCAGATGGCTGCAACAGCCGGAGCTGCACCGATCTGAAGCCAGGAGCTTCTTCTGGGTCTCCCACGTGGGTGCAGGGGCCCAAGAACTAGGGCCATCTTCTTTGCCTCCCAGGCCATTAGCAGAGAGCTGGATCAGAAGAGGAAAAGCCAGGACTCGAACTGATGCCCATATGGGATGCCAGCGCAGCAGGGGAGGCTTAACGTACTATGCCACAGCACCGGCCCCATGCCTAGGTTTCCTGACCTTGGATAAGTTATTTTTTCTTGTCTGTTCTTCAGTTTTCCTGTCTGTGAAATGGGGGTAAGCAACACGCACACCTGAAGTTGTGGGGTTGACAACGGTGGGGCGCGCGTCAAGCCCCGCCCCTCTGTGTCACTCAGGTCCTCACCGTGCAGGAGCTCAGGTAGAGAAGGAGGAACTGTGGGGCTGGCCGATCTAGAACCTGCAGGGTGGGCCAGCGGGCTGGAGACCGGGGCAGAGCCCGTGCCGCAGCAGCGCAGGTCAGAGGCACCTGCAGGCAGAACCCGTCTCACTTTGCTTTATTTGCTTCGTCTAGGCCTTGAGTTGATCAGAAGGGACCACCCACAGTCTGCTTTACTTCAAGTCTGATTCAGGGGTGGGCATCTGGCAGGGAGGGGTCAAGACCCCTGTATCCCATGTTGGAGTGCTCGTGTTCAACTCCCAGCTCCAGCCCCTAAATCCGGCTTCCTGCTAGTGCAGCCCCTGGGAGGCAGCAGCGAGGGCTGCAGGGGTCTGGATCCTGCCACAGGTGTGGGAGGCCTGGATGTGTTCCTGGCTCCTGGCGGTGGCCTGGCCTGGCCTTTGCTGTTGCATGCATTCGGAGAGTGAACCAGAAGCTGGGAGCTCTCTGCCGCTCAAATAAAGTCATTTTGTAAAAAGACTCCTCCCTTCTTTCCCACGTGCAGGCCCCCAGGAACCTGGCTTTGCAGGTCTCTGGTCATCTTCCAAGGGCTTGGAGCTGGGACGAGCTCAGCCTGGCTGCTGACGCCTGCATCTGCTCATCTTACTTCTTCTCTATGCTGCGCCTTGCCTCATCAGCTGCACAACCAGAGAGCTCCCTCGGCCTCAGAACGCCGAGGCCCTCAGCTCCGTGCCATGGTACAGCTCTCGAGTAGCTGGCCTTGCTGGTAACCCACACGCGGGACACTCACACGCCCTGTCTTTCCTGTGATGAAGCCGGCCTGCTCCACACCTGTCAGCCAGGCCTGGCAGGGGAGGGGCGCTCGTGATGACCCCAAGGCAGGGACCTTGGGATGGGTATGGTTTCAACCAGGAGCTGGCTCTTTCTGGTTTCAGGGCAGACACAGAGGCAGTCCCTACTATGGGAGAGGAAAGTGGCCCAGGCTTTAGCTGAGCTGCCCGGCTGGAGCGCTCTGCCAAAGAGCCGTTGCAGGCCACAGGTGCAGCCCGCTGGCGGGCTGTGTTCGGTTTCCTGGACACAGATTGTACTCAGAACTCTGCCGCATTGTCCCTCCCCTGCATGCCTCGGCACCAGAGGACATCATCAGGGCACAGGAGTGTTCCTACACGGGGTAGTCGAGAATGTGCAGGGCAAGAGAGACAGGTGTCTGAGGAAACGAACTTGAACTTTGGAATCTCCATTGTCAAAAATCTGCAGGGTTTCTGTGATCTCAATGAGATTCTTGACGTAATTGTAATGAGGCAAAACTCCCATCTCAAAGACCAGAGTGGGCCTAAAATCAGGCAGGAACACACGAGCTGTGTGAGTGTCACATTAGCAGGCTGTGACGCAAAGAGCCCATTGTCTCAACACTAACACTTCTCAAGCGTGGCAGGACTGCGGGTCCCAGAGTTGGATTAGCGGGAGCGGTGACACACACCGAGGTAGATGTTTAGGAGACGTGGAAAGCAAGCCACGGGCCACTTAGAGGAGCACCTTAACTGCTTCGGGCCCTGCTCACCGAAGCTGCACCCGCAGCCCTCTGCCCTGGGACAAGTTTCCATGCAAGAAGGAAGGGCTGCAGGGCTGAGAAATCCGAGCTGGGGAGCAGCTGGACAGCTTTCTCTGCCTGGCTCCCGGGCCTGGGAGCTCCCACCTGACCTGCAGGACCCATTTCCCACCTTCTAGTAACCCAGGCCTCCAACTGGACTTCAGGTCTTCCCCAGGCCTCTGACCTGGCTCAGAGCCTCTCTCCTCCTTTGCACACACTTTTCAGGGAGATAGAGTTGTCCCACCCCCCTCATCCCCAGTTTCACATTCCAAGCACCCAGGGAATGCCTAGAACTGCCAACAGTTCTACACAAACCCCTTTGCTGCTCCGATGACCCATCTGATAACAGAAGCAGCTTCTAGTGACTAAGGGCTGGTGGGTGGCACATACAGCGTGGATACACTGAGCCAAGGGATGATTCGCAGCCAGACTTCATAGAGCGCTCAGAATGGCATGCAGTGTAGCACTTGAGACCTCTTCACTTATGGAATTTTCCATTTAACAGTCTGAGGTGGTGGTGGTCCGTGGGTAACCAAGAACTGGGGCGTGAAATGCACGCAAGGGGGCGCTATTGCACTCTCGGCTGTCACTGGGAAATATGGGATCTGGATGCACAGTCTGCAGCCCTTGGCTCAGGTGCATTTCAGCAGCGGGAAGCTCCTGTAGCCAAAAGGCCTTTCAAGGGAGTCAAACAGAAAAAGATTTTTAAAAGGCACTCTATTGTCTACATGAATACCTGCATTTGTCCAATAATGGATGAAGTGAGGGTGTCACGGTGACATGGGCGTTACAAAGGGGTCAGTTGCAAATGGGTAGACTCTCAGGCGGCTGTGGGATGTAGCCCAGGCGGGAATTTTGGCATGGTTGGGTTCCGACGTCTTGTGATGTTGGCCCTTTCGGGGATGAGAGGGAAGGACCAGCTCCGGTCAGTCGCAAGGTTTGGAGCTGGCTCCAAGGTGTGGTTTGAAATCCGTGACATGGACACCAGGCCTCACCGGGTGATTCTGGAGCTACTTCCTGATCAGCAATCTGTGCAGATGACCCCCTCCCTGCGCTCCCCCCACCACTGCAACCCCTCCAAACACCGGCTTTCACGGCGCAGGGGAAGCCAGCTTGAATCCGATGAACCCAATGGCGTCAAAGATAGGCTCAGACAATGCGTCAATGAACAAGAGAGTGCACACATGACTCTATGTTCTAATAAAACTTTATTTGGCCCATCCTGATCAAGTTTAACAATGTGTAATAGATTCTTTTTTAAAACATGAGTCATTATAACAATTCCTCTGTAATAACAATTATATATGAACTCCCGGTAAGGTCAGCAGCTGGTTCCTTCACCAAGAGCCGCCCTCTGAGGACAAAATGGCACATGAGGAGTGGTGTGCATTTCCTTTTCTTTAAAATAACAAAACCAAAACCCAAGCAAACCCCACACAATTCACATATACATATTCTCTATTTAAAAACAGGTCAGTGTGATTAGTTCTGTTTTAAATATCAGTCCTAACGTGTCACAGGTTTCAACGTACAACCCCTAGTTTGCTGATCAGATATTTAAGGTGCTGGGATGTGAGTGAACATGGCCTAGGAGCAGCCCTGGAGGGCCCTCTACCTGCAGGCCGGGCGGGCTTCCTGTGGGCATCTTGGGGGTGCTGGGGACCAGCAGCAGAGATGGCAGAGCGCTCCAGGGGGCCCAACTGGGAGCTGGCATTGTCACCACCTTTTGCTCCTGCACAGGGCCTGCCTGTGTGCTCCAGCCTCATCCTGGCCTAAACTACTGAACTACAAGCAGCAAACTTGCTTTCTGTCCCTTCCTTGTCCACCCTGCTGGTGCCTGACCCCTGAGGGCCCTGGATCGGCACCCCTTCTTTCCTACCCTCCTATCTTTCTAGATTCCTTGGCTCTCCAGCCACATTTCTTTAGGGCCCGTTCCTCGCCCTAAGGCTAAGACGATCAGAGTCAAGGGCAGCATTAACCAAGAGTGATGGTTTCCAAGAGAAACCTTCTAACACGTTTGCTCGACGGCAGGCACTCACTGCTTTCCTCTAAGCGAACACTTCGCGCCAAGAGCATAAGGTCCCGAGGTAGGCTTGGTGGGGAGCTGTGGCTACGAGGGGTGGGGGTGGAGTGGGGTCTAGGGGTGGGCTACAGGGGCTCCTGGCACTGCTATCTTCAAACTCACCCGTGTACGCCGTGCACTGGGGCCTGAGGGCTGCGTGTGCATGTGTGTGTCAGGAAAGTGCATAGGGAGTGATTGCTGGGGTAGACATGTGCACAAGCCTGGGAGAATGACTGACTATAGCAATGGTCCCCAAACCACTGGGATCTGAAACAACCAGTTCAGACCACACAGGAACAAGGCAAAGAGAGGGGGGTGGCGGGAGGAGAGCATTGAAGCACACAGGGAGCCAGAGAGGAATACGCTGGTGAGGGGCAGAGAAACGGGCTTCCCGTCAGTTTGGGAATTCAAGGAACACTGCTCTGAATCCAAGAACACGGGACGGGTCCGAGGGCAGTGGACAGGGAAGAAAACACCGTGGCCCAGGTTTTCCGATCGAGGCCAGCCACTGGCTGCCACCGACCCGGCCTGCCATCTTCAGCGAGTCATTTTGCTTGTCGGGGCCCCTCGTCCTGCCTCGGCTGTCGGTTGAGGCTAGTGGGCAGAAGGCCTGCAAGACTTCTCTGCATGGCGCGGCCCAGGCAGGGCCTGCAGACTGCTGCCCAGTTTCTTCCCTGCGCGCCACCACCTGCGAAACGCACCCCCTCCCCTCTGCCGGCCCGGGGCCCATCCCCCATCAGGCTCCTGTCCAATCCCGCTCCCAGAGGTTAAAGGCTCGTTATTAAGGCAGTTTAAGCAATGGACATTCCTCGGCTCCTCGGATCCTACAGGTGTTCTGCTCCCCCCAAGGCAGCAGCGAGGGGCGCGCGGGCAGGCGGGGGAGCCCGGCTTTGCCGCGAGACCCCTCGGCCCTCACCACCGTTCTTTGGAGAAGGCCTCTGTCTGCACGAGGTCGCCAGGGTGCTCAGGGATGCACGCGCCGTTGAGGTCGCCCAGCTTGTTGTCCGGCAGGTCCTCGGGCTTGGAGCAGAGCTTTAGCGCGCGCGAGATGAACACATCCAGGTCGAACTGCGGGCTGGCGCCGCCGTCGCCGAGCGCGGGGCGGCCGGGGGGCGAGGCGGCGCGGCGGCGCTCGGGGCTGGCGGGGGCGCGCTCACCGCCGGCCTGCGTGCTCTGCACCCACTGCGCGATCTCCAGGAAGAGGCTGGCGGGCTCATCCTCGCGCGGCCCCGCGCCCGCTGCCCCTGCAGCCGCCGCCGCCGCCGGGGGCGCGCCGGCCGCCTGCTTCCAGTGCGACAGGTCCAGGATGAGCTTGGGCTCCGAGTAGTGGTGCGGCTTGTTGTCGCGCCACAGCAGCTTGTCCAAGTAGGACGGCGAGCCCACCTTGTAGTCGCACGAGCGCCCGTAGTCGGCCTCGAAGGCGCGCTCCATGGACGAGTGCGACTGCTCCAGGAAGCGCTCGGAGCTGCTTTGCGAGTCTTTGCGAGGGTCCACCTGCACGTCCTCGGCCAGCGGCGCCGAGCCCGCGCGCGGGTCGCGCTGCACCTCGCTCGCGTCCTGGCACCGGTCGGGCCGCCACTCCAGGTCCGAGGACAGGCTCACCGGGTATCTGCAAGGCACACACAGAGCTGTGACTGGAACCTCGGGAGCTGGCTTCCAGGAGGGGGTCCAGCCCCCGAGCCCCTCTGCCCCTGAGCCCCCCTAGCCCTTGAGGGACCTATTGTTGGGCTTACCCCTTGCAGTCACTCAAAACCATCCAAATATTTCTGTGTGCTAGGGATTCGCTGATCTACGCACTACTGGACACAGCCGTGAGCCAAAGTCCCTGTCCCCATGAATGCACCTGCCATGCCCTTCCGACCTTGAGCGATCCTGTTAAAATGCAGATGGTGTCTCGAAGATGGGAGGTGGTGCGGAGTCTGCATTTCTAACAGGCTCCCAGCTGATGAGGATGGCACTGGCCCTTGGACCACACTTGGAGTGGCAAGTCCCTAAGGAGTGCTGCTCAACCCTGGCTCAGAGTAGACTCCCCTGGGGGGAATGAAGAAGAAAATTCCAGGCCTGCCCCACCCCCATTGCCAAGCCTGGTTCAGTAGGTCTCAGGTGGGGCCCTGTGGCAGCCTGATATGAAAACCTCCCCGGGTGATGCAAAGGTGCAGCCAGGGCTGACAGCCCCTGCCCTACTTGGGTGCCCCGCAGCGCCCCACATTGGAGCACAGCAGGTGGGGCTACAGAAGGGCACCCCCAGGACAGCCCAGAGATCCTTGGAACGCTGCCCCCTGCAGACACGCCACAGCCCTGGAGGGAGAAGTCAGCTCTCCAACAGCAGATGGGCAGGCAGACCTTCGGCTCTGACTGAGCCCACCCCTCCAGTGCCAGGTGCTTGGTGCGGAGCCGTGGCGTGGGGGAGGCGGGGAGTGCAGAGGAGGCGGCAGCCAGCAGGAGGCTGTGCCCACACAGGACAGACAGGTAAGCCAAGGACAGGCGAAGGGGCAGAGCAGGCAGCTGCGTGTGTGGTTTGACGGGCATGGGGTGGGGGCCGGGGCTGCCCACTTCCTGGTGACGCCATCGGGAGGGGAACCTCTCGCAGAGCTGAACACCGCCTCCCTGTGGGAGTGGCCTTGCAATAGCAGGGATTCCCAGGAGGAGGAGCTTGAAAAGACCCTAACCCTTGGCGGCTACCCGCTGAGGGCGGAACAGAGCGTGATCTGTGGGCTTCCTAGCAACCCTGAGGACTTGTGTCACCACCCCTGGCTTGGAGGTGAGGACACCGGCCTTCCTGGGGTGACGCAGTCGGCGCATGGCAGCAGGGCCTGCAGCAAGGGCCGTGCCGTGGCCTCCCCCCGACTGCTCCCTCACGCAGGTGCAATGAGAAAGGCTGGGAGCAGAGAGGCACCAGGCACAGGGGTGGGCAGAGTTGATGGCTGGTGACCAAAGAGGTGCTGCAGCGCTTTTCCTGGCATAAGCCTCGTGCGGAACCAAGGCTCTGCACCCCAGGTGGAGGGGGAGGGGCTGCGGGGAGCACAGTCCAAGGCGGGCCTGGAGAGGCTTCATTAATCTCTGTATGCCGACGACCCTTGAAAGCCACCATTTACAACAACAAGAAGCCTGTCCAAAAATAGCAATGTCGCCTGGCCCTCCCTGGACGCCTCCTTCAGCTGTAACCCATCATCTGTCAAACGACCAAAAAAGAGAAACTGCTCATCTGTCACTTACATAATCGGCCATCGCATTCTCACAGCCACGGGACTCCTGGTGAGGCACCGAGCCCTGCCCACTCTTTCCAAGCCGGGCTGCTGCCGGCATCCCCAGAACTAGTAGATGGTGATGCCGAAACTTTAAGGTGCCTGAGCTGAGAATGACCGGACAGGAAGGGGATCCATGAGACCATCTGGGGTCCAGGCAGAGGTCATGTAACAATGCATTCTCTACCCTGCACACATGGGAGGTGGCTTCCAGGGACCCTGGTTGAGGGCTCTGAGCCAAGTGCTGTTTAGCAGCAAAGAGTCCTGTGATTGGTTGTACAGATGTGTGTGACATGGGTGCAGACCGGGGAGAGCCCCACACGGGCCAGGGGTTAGCTGTGTGTTGTGACAGCCATCTCTTAGCCTCTCTGAGCAATGGATTCATGTGTCGGGGGCCTCTCTTATTGCCACCCTCAGAAGGTGCAGATGATGTGAAACGGGAGATGTCCTGCATTGCTTTCTCGCCCTGTGTTGGGTCAGTTGACTTTTCAAGGCACGTTCTCAGGCTGCTGGAAGTGAGTGTTGACCGTAGGTACTCACTAAATGCTTGCCCAACGTTGTCTGCAACCCTGTGTTCGGTGGACTCAGGGTGGTGAGCAAAGCTGGGGGTTGCTGTGTCACACCAAGGGCAGCCCCTGACCCCCACATGCGCTCAGTGGGCTACACAGCCCGGGAAGCCCCTGGCACCGCACCTGTCCCAGTTGGAGAGCTGGCTCTGGCTGGCGGCCATCAGCACAATGTCGTCGATCTCGTCCTCTATGTGGAATGGGTGTTGCGAGGTGGGCTCGTCCTCGGGGCACGAGTACGGGCTCATGTAGGGGTGCTGGAGCCCCATCTCGGCTGTGAGGCGATCCATGGGGTTGAAGGTCAGGATCTTCTCCAGGAAGTCGATGGCTGTGGGGAGCAGAGTGCAAGGTGAGGGTCATTTATTGCCTTTGGCAAGCACAGGAGGCTCAGTGGCGTGGTGACCTGGTGTCTGGGATAGGGGGATAGCCACTACCTTACAGGTGGGAAGGTGTCCCTCGCCACGTCCCTCTGCCAAGGGCTAAGGGCTGCAGGGGTGGGTAGAGGAGCCGGTGTCCCGGGTGTAAGCAGGGAAAAGGTGAACACGGCTGGGAGGGCAGGGACAGGGCCTCCACTGCCCACAGCTCCTGTGTCGCCTCTGGAAGTTTGACAAATGAGGGCAGGCAGGCTGTATAGACAATCAAAACACTGAAGGGCAGGGCTGGGACTCCCTGCTGCACTAGGCAGTAACCCTTTAGTGGCTAGATCTCAGTAGTGGGGACCCGGGCTGGGGGGAAGCACCCTCAGAAGCTGTTGCCAGCCAAGGCGAGGGCACCGGGGTTTCAGCAGCCTGTGAGTGTCGTGGGGTGCCCTGGCTGGAGGTCAGCTTTGCATATGGGTGCTGGAGTCCTTGCTCCTGTGAGCTTGGCCCTGGGATATCTCAGTGCAAGGTCTAGCCTAGAGCTTTGTATTGCTTCTCAGCACTGGAGTGCCTGGAGGCTTGAACTCTGTCTTGGCTACTCAGATTCCAGCCCAGGAAGAGAGGGAGAGAGAGAGCTGAGCTGAGGCCCAGGCTGCCCACCCCTCCCAGGGCTCCTGGTGGGTCCCAGCCTGCACGCTGAACCTGCTCCTCACGCCCGCCCTGGATAGCTGTGTGGGAAAAGTCATCAGTGATTCAGGAAATCAATGGATTCAGGAGGTCACTGGCCTCCAGGGAGGGCTCAATGCTGCTGGGTAACCCTAGATGGAGAGATTAGGTAAGCAAGGCAGTGACTGGTTGCCCCAAACACTGATACACAGACGGCATTCCTGGGTCTGAGGCTGCAGATCTCAGAGAGGACCCACCTCACAAACCTCCAGGATAGCAACATGGGGCCCTCCAGGGCAGGGCCCATCCCCAGGCCTGGGCAGGCTGCACCCCTGTGGGCCTCCTGCTCTTCCTCTGCCCCATCCTTGACACTGGACAAGGCAGTGAGGGATTTGTGGCTGCGAACCCTGCAGGCAGTATCCCTGTTGTACTCATCGATAAAAAGCCCCCAGCAGGTGTCCTGGGTGAGACTCTCCTCTCCGCCCTCTGGATAAGAAATGGGCCATGAAGAAATGGCTAGTGGGTTGATTCCAGCTTATCCACCACACAGCCACACCTCACTGCAGGAGAGGCTGGGAGGGCCAGGGCAGGTGGTGCTGTGCCAGCAGGGGGTTTTGCGAGAGGCACCAGCTTCCCCTTAGTGCATGTGCCACACTGGGCTCAAGCCCCTCGGATGCCTTTAAGGTGATTCCTGTCCATCGGGTCACCTTCCCACGGCCCAGTCCCCCAGGGCTCCTGGGCGGATTCTCAGGAGCATCGCTGGGCACGGAGAGGCAGATGGACGGGACCCTGCACACCTGCTCCATCCAGGGCACTCTTTTTTTTATCTGTTTTACATCTCAGGCCTTGCAGATTTGCCACTTGCAGTGTATGCATTTCTTGTCATAAAAGCAGCTCCACACTAAGTGCCTTTGGTGGGGGCCTGCAGCCTGCCTCCCTGGTCCTGCACCTGCTACCTGGTGGGCATTTTGGCTCCTGAGCACTGCTGTCCCCTATAGACTGATTCCTGGTAGCCTCTGACCCCTTATGGCCTCTTCCCGTGTCATGTCCTTGGCTCTTGAGTGCTCAGCAGGGAGGGGCGGAATTCCAGGGCTACCGGGGACTCTTCTTGGGTAGGTGGGTTTGTGGCTCCTTCTCCCACAGATATTTCAATTCAGTGAGGCCTCATTACCCCAAGACCAGAAGCCCATCTGGGTCACTTTTCAAGGCCAGAGGCAGACAAGATGCCACACCGGGAGGGTGACTCCTGCCTGGCTCCCATGAGCATCTGCTCAACGGCAAGATCAAGTCCAGGCTCAAGGGCCTCTCATCCCTCCCACCTCTCCGGCTTCACTTCCTCCAACCAGGAGCCCTCACCCCCTCCTCCAGGCCAGCTTCCAGGTCTTCCCTGTCTTCCAGCTGGGCCGTCTCATGCACCCTTGAGCCTCTATCCCCAGCACAGTTCTGCAGCCGTGGTGGGTTCATCCACATCGGCTGGTGTTGGTGACGACGGTGGGGAGCTTTGCCTGCTTTCAGGCACCAATTCTGACTCCTCTGGGACCAGGCCCACCCTTCTTAGCTGTCGCCCCTGGGAGGCTGTGTGTGCCTGCTTAGGGGAGAGGGGGGTAACGGGTGACCCAGCCCTGAGCCAGAATTCCTGAGCAGCGAGCATGGCCCTCGGTGCATGCCGGGATTTCCTCAGAAGCCTAGGATACCACGTCAGTATGGATGGGCTGTGTTGTTGTATACCACGCCCCCCGCCCCCCCATGGGCAGACTCTGGCAGTGTATGGAACGGGGGCCACGGCCAAAGGCATTGTTGGTCCAAGTTCCTGGCTTCTTGAGAGGGGAAGAGTGTGGCAGGTGCAGCCGGTCCGCATCTCATGTCTGTCCCCCTCTTTCCCAGTGAGGGACGCAAAGTGTCAAGGACTCAATGCCCGTTTCACAGCCGCCACGCAGTCAGGTGGGGGCACGTGACGAGGTTCCGGCCCATCGGGCTTGAGTGGAAGTGAGCGAGACACATTCTGGCTCAGGACATTGAAGGCAAAGGGAACTCCCCCCCCATCCTCACCTTCCTCCCTGGGGGTCAGACCAACACCCCACGCTGGCAGCACAGGGCGGAGAACCAGGGCCTGGGGTGACCGTGTCGGGACGTTTCTTCTTTTATACTAAATAATAAATGAATCTCGGCTAAACCATTGGGACTTTGTGTCTCTCTCAGAATCGGCTGAACCTCTCCTATGATACACAGGGAGTCCTGGCAGGCAGGAGACCCGAGACCCATGATGACAGCGACATCTAAGGTTGATGGAGCAACTCTCCTAGGCCCAGGGCGTCTCCAGTTCTCCTTTACTTCACTGTTACAGCCCCCCCACCCCCCCAACCGCATGAGTGATCTTTTACTGTAGTCACTTCACAGCTACGGAAGCCGAGACGCAGAGGGGTTGAGTAACTGACCCAGAGCCACACAGCGGCCACTGCTGGGACTGGGGCTGACCCGCAAGCTGAGAAAACTCGTATTCTTCACACCAGATCTGCCTGGTGTGAAAAATAACGGGGAGGGGAGTGAAGGAAGGTGAGCAACGGACAAAGAGAAGGCAGGGGAGGCAAGATGGGGGGGACCATGAGTGTCTGCCCTGGGGCTGCTACGGGGCCAAGTGCAGAGGTGCAGCGTGCTCCATTTGGAAACAGCTGGAGCAGTGCCTGGGGCCAGAAGAGCTCTGGGTTTGGGATCCATTGTTCAGGTTTTGAGATCTCTGCGTGGGTTTTCCTGGTCAAGCAACCCTCATCTGAACGCTTTTGAGCGTCTGTCACAGTTCCGAGTGTGCAGTATTTTGGATTTCAGATTTCCCGAATGGGGATGCCCAGCCTGTACCGGGGGCAGGCGACTGCTGCCCAGGGAGCCTCTGCCTCTGCCTCAGAGGACTGCGCTCCGCCCCTTGCCCCCAGGGTGCAGCCAGGGCCCGGCCTCCCGCTCGCTGGCCCGGCCTCAGGCTCAGGTACCTTCGCTGTCCACGTCCGGGAGCAGCTTGCGCAGTGGCCTCTTCACCTGCCAGCTGCTGTTGACGAAGGAAGGCATCACCCTGAGCAGCTCGTCCTTGTCTTCCTCCCGGATCACAGGGATGGTCTCCAGGATGAGCTGCATCTGCTCCAGCTCGTGAGCCCCTGCGGAGGCAGATGGTCCATGGTCCATGATCCATGCTGAGTGCACGTCCCCGGGAGGGCGGCTGGGGTGTGCAGGAGCCCCAGAGTGCCTCCCGCTGGCCTGTGAGGGCATCGCAGGGAGACACGGCACTCGGGCGCTGGGCTTTACTCTGCCTCTAACTTGCTGTGTGACCCTGGGCAGGTTGCCCACCATCTCTGGGTCTGCTTTGTTAAGGGTAGAATGAAGGAGTCGAATCTGGTCATCTCCAAGACTCTATCCATTCCTTAGCACGCTGTGCCTCAGCACTGGTCCGTCTGCTAGGGACCGAGTCAGCAGGCACTAAAGTGGTGGGCAGCCTGGCCTACGCCTTCCCAGTGCCCCTTCCCTCTGCACATGCAGGCTTAGGGAGGAGACCAGCTAAGGTGAGGAAAGAGCTTTATTCTTTCATTTCCAATGGGGAGGCGTCCAGCCAGAAGTAGGAGCAAGTTAGAGGCAGAGGAGGAAGGGGCTGAAAACAGGGTTTTTTCATTGGTCAATCTCAAGGTCTTAGAACAGGTGTGTGTTAGCCCATCTGGGATGCTATGATAAGGTACCGCATAGTGGAGGTTTGTGAACAGCAAACAGTCATTTCTCTGTTTTAGATGCTGGGAAGTCCAAGATGAAGTTCTGGAGGCTATCAGCCGTGGTGACGTGGTATCTGGAGAGAGGCCTGTCCCTTCTTGCTGTGCCTTCACACGGTGGAAAGGACAAACAAGCTCCCTCGGGCTGTTCTCTTAGGGCACCATCCCCAATTATGAGGGCTCCACCTGATGACCTACCTGCTTCCTGAAGGCCCACCTGTTCCTATCATCATCACCTTGGGGATTAAGATTTTTCAGCCTATGAATGTTGGAGGGGGGCGGGACCTCGTCATTTAGATAGCAAAGTGCTGCCTTGATCGCCCTGGTCTGCGCTCCAGGGGTGCTCTTGCCTGAGATTATTACAGTAAGTCGCCTCCCACCACTGCCATAAGAGCCACAGAAGTGATTCTGGCCACAAGCTGGTGTGGTGGTGATTTGCGTGTGTTTTGCGCTCCATTTTCCCCTTCTCCTAGAGCGGCCCGAGGGGAGAAGGCGGGCGCGCGGGCGGGCGGGCGGCACAGTCAGGAACTTACCAGCGAACAGCATCCTCCCCGTGAGCATCTCAGCCAGGATGCAGCCCGCAGCCCACATGTCGATGGCTTTGGTGTAGTTGTTGGGGGACAGGAGCAGTCGTGGGGAGCGGTACCACTTTGTGACCAACCCTTCTGACAGATAACCCTGGAAGACAGAGCCCCCAGCCCCCGTGATCAGGCCGCGGCAGACGTCCTCCCTCCCGGCCCCTCCCAGTGGCCCCTCCCGTAGATTCCCTCCCCCCGCCCCCCCAGGATCCCTTTCATTCTTGCTCCCTTTCCCGCTGCTCTTGAACATGACTGCACAGAAGTCTGGTCAGAGGGACTGAGCCTGGCCTGTGGGGCTCACAGGGTCTGGTGGGAGGGCCCTGGGAGGCCCTATGGGATTCTCCTTTGTAGAAAGGCGTCCAGGTATCGATGTTTTCAAGGCAATGAACTCCCACCCCAAATTGATGTAACTATGCTCAAGTCCATTACTGCCGTAACAGATGAGCCGCAGGCGTTTCACTTATCCAGGGACTGAAACGCAGAAAAGCCATGCATCTGAAACCAAGCCAGTTGATACTGACGATTAGAATGAATTCTGCTACAATAACAGTCATCGAGCCCCTATTAGGACCAGACAAGGCCACCTCCCAAGGGGGTGCAGGGTAGCTCCTCTAAAGGACAAAGTGGACACAGCTTTTGTTGGCCAAGAGGATTCTGGGAGCTCGTTATGGTGCCCTAAAGGAGGATTAATGTCCTGGCTGATTTTGGCCTCTGCTCAATGGTTCGTGGTCCGGGCTGGAATCCCTCCCTACAGCACACAGTGGTGACATAGGTGTGTTAGCACAGAGAGGGCATCTCCCCCAGGCAACTTAGAAATTGTTTTCCACATAATTCAGAAAGCTGGCCTAACAGTGAAATCTGAGGAATGTCCATTTGTCTTGCCTGGAACAGACTCTCTAAAGGCAGACCCATTTGGGGAGTTAAAGTAAGACAGTCAAGACCCAGGAGATCCAACGAGAGACAGCGGCATGATCTTGCTACGTGCTATTGTAGTTCTCAGTTCCCATCTGAGTTTTCCTTTTGCCCTGTGGAAAACATATCACAGACCCAAGTTCAAGCAAATGAAAAATCAGGAGGCCCAAATACTTAGGAGCTTTTGACCCAGTAATCTGAAATCTTTTCACCTGTTGAACAAAGACTTACTGGGCATCTAAAGCCTTCTGAGAGCTCCAAATTAGGATAGCCATTCTCTCTCCTTGGTGGCCTGTTATTTCTTCAAATAGTGCCTCAAACTAGTGGGAGGAAGGAGGGGATGAGAAATAACACCGCTTTGCTGGAATGACTGCAGTGTGCCGTGTGCCCATAACCAGCCTATGTGGTCCAGCCACGATTAGAAGGTGCTCTCTCCCCGCCTCCTTGGGGGACTTTCAGAAATCCCTTCCTGGGGAGGGGGTTCTCCTATGTGGCTAACACGCGAGGCTGGCCTCCCCTCAGAGCTCCCCTGCTTTGTTCTTGTTTCATTGCTTCTCTCTCTCTCTTTTTTTTTGACAGGCAGAGTGGATAGTGAGAGAGAGAGACAGGGAGAAAGATCTTCCTTTTTGCCGTTGGTTCACCCTCCAATGGCCGCCGCGGCTGGCGCACTGCAGCTGGCACATCGCGCTGATCCGAAGCCAGGAGCCAGGTGCTTCTCCTGGTCTCCCATGGGGTGCAGGGCCCAAGCACCTGGGCCATCCTCCACTGCACTCCTGGGCCACAGCAGAGAGCTGGCCTGGAAGAGGGGCAACCAGGACAGAATCCGGCACCCCGACCGGGACTAGAACCCAGTGCGCTGGCGCCGCAAGGAGGAGGATTAGCCTAGTGAGCCGTGGCGCCGGCCCATTGCTTCTCTTCTTGATCACCCTCCTGGGCAGCTGCTCTGTATTGTTGTGTAGCTACCTTTCCATCATCCAGCCTCATGTCTGCCTCCGGGAAACCCTGATGAATAAATGAAGGGGCAAAGCACTTCTTGGGTGGCCTGCACCCCCTTCAAAATGAGGCACCTTCTGCACGGCCCACTCATGCTCATCTTTGACACTTGACTTTCTGGAGAGTCCCAACACCCACTTGCTAAAGGGTGCAAGTTGACATGACAGTGTCTCATACCTTGTCTTGTTCTAAAAAGTATTGGCCAATGCAATTATTATAGGAATTTATTATTTAAAATTTATTTATTTATTTTGAGAGAAAGAGAGAGAGCTCTCCCATCTGCTGGTTTACTCCCCAAATGTTGCTTTGGCTGGGGCTGGGCCAGGTAGAAGCCAGGAGCCAGGAACTCAATCAAGGTTTCCCATGTAGATGGCAGAAATCCAACACTTGAACCATCGTTGTTGTCTCCCAGGGTTCCCATTTGCAGGAAGCTTGAGTCAGGAGCTGGGGCTGGGAATTGAACTCAAGACACTCTGATGTGGGGCACAGGTGTCTTAGCCGCTACGCTGAACGCTTACTCCTAGGAGTTATTTTTTGTTTGGTTTATTGAGGTGTAATTAATGTCATCCACCTTTTTTAGTGTGCAGTTCTATGCATTTTCACAAAAGCATATGATTGTGCTCCTTCATCACAGTCAAGATATGCAACAACTCCGTCATCTCAATCCCAGCATGCTCCTCTGTGTTCTTGCCCCAGCAGCGTCTGTGTTCTGTCCTCTGGCTTGACGAGGTCGTATGGCAGGAGTGACAGCACAGAATCGGGAGTGGTTGCCTTCACTTACCATCGTGCATCCGAGACACATCCAGGCTGTAGGCAGTGCTGTTTGTTTAGCATTTAAGTCAGATACTAAAAATGACAGAAACAAGCCAAACTATGGATGTTCCCTCCTGGGTGGGTGTGTTATAAATAATGGCCTGACTTTATTTTCCAGTCAGAGGTGAGACAGTAAAGCCAAGAATACCCAGAGGGGAGGGGATTTAGTTTTCTGATATGTAAATGAATAGTATGTTCTGGAATTAACATCTGTCACTTATGGGAGGCAAATGGCGACATAGTTTCCTTCTGAAACACCTGCCCTGTGAACAAGAGATGTCCACATGGGCAAAGCCAGCCTTGGGCCAGATTGAGGCCCAGAGCAGTAGCTGGCCTTATGGATGAGTCCTGGCCTTTGAATGAGGTCCGAGCAGTAGCTGGCCTTATGAATGACTCCTGGCCTTTGAAAGAGGACCAGAGCAATAGCTGGCCTTATGTTAGCCACTGGCTGCTTCCCTGTAGCTTTTTGTCCCTCACACTCTTTTCTTCCCCTTTATCTGAAAGGCAGGCACACACACACAAACACACACACACAGATCTTCTATCTGCTAGTTCACACCCCAAATGTCCGCAACAGCTGGGGCTGGACCAGGAGCCAGGAACTCCATAGGGGTCTCCCATGTGGACGGCAGGAACCCAGATTCTTGAGCCATCACCCGCTGCCTCCCAGGGTGCACATCGGCAGGACGCTGGATCTACAAGCAGTGACCTGACACCTGTGCCAAATGCCTGATTCCAGCCAACTCTTTAAACAATAGAAAGGGAATGTTCTGGTGTGTTTCAGCAGCCACAGGGCATAGGGGAAGCTGGGAGGTGCAGTGTCTTGTCCAAGCCCTGGGACAAGAGAGGTCCAGGGAGAAGGAGATGGGAATTAATGGGAGGTGCATTCTTGGGCCTATGGGGCAGACTCTGGGGGCCTGGGGCACCTGCTGTCAACTGCAATGAGCCCTGAGGGTCCCGTTGGGAGAGGCAGTGGAGTCCACCTCAGGATACTGCTTATCCGAAATCTAAAGAGGAGTTTCCAGTTGAGTGGATGGCGCTAAAGTCAGATTTTTCTAGGAAAAGCATCTTTGCAGGATACACAGGAGTGGAGTGCAATTTTATCAGAAGAACTCTGACATCAGTCAATCAAAGAAGTCTCCCAGTGGCCTCTCTGCCTGAGCCTGCAGAGCGAACGGCCCCAGCTACATGTAGACGAGATGGGAACATAACATGTCCTCAGGGCCCAGCCCTGGGCTTCCGGGGCAGGGTGTGCCCGTGTCCAGGCTGCCCGAGGAGGGGGTGGGAGCGACGGCAGGCACAGGCGCAGTGCACATGGGCACTGTCTGAACACGGGGGTCTCGAGCTAAGTCATTGCCAGTGTGAGAAGACATGAAGCTCCCTCCGTTCTCTGTGATCCCGGCTTGGCACCCAAGGGCCAGCCTGGAGTTGTTCCTTCCAGAAGGTGCCTTTTCCCTGCTACCCCGACCTTGGTGCCCCTGGGAGGCAGTTGGACATGGCTTCCTTTCTAGATCCTTCCAAGGGGGGGTCTCAGGGCCTTCTGCAATGTTTGCTCCTGCCGGCCCATTTTGCTGTTCCTTTAAAGTCCCCGAGAGCCCACGGGAGGCTTGGACTTTGGTTTGGGAAACCATTTCACAGCAGCTGGGCCATGATGAGCATGACCGGGGCCCCCAGCAGCCCCAGGGTGAAAGCTCTGGGTGTTCTCTGTGCAGAGGGGGCAGGGAACAGCCCTCAGGCCAGCCTCTCTCCCAGGGGATTCAGAATGGCCTAAATCAAAGTCACCCCAGGAGGGTGGACCCCCGCCTGCGGCTCTGGCAGGCACATGCTGGGTGGGTGCCAGTTCTGCCTGCATCTGCCCTGAGTTTGCTCTGTCTGTGAGTCAGAGGTGGAGAAGAAGCCAATGAGGCAACAAACCTTCTTGCTTTAAGAACAGTGCGCCCCACTGATCCCAGGTATGGAAAGCTTCAAGTACAAAAGCTTAGTCAACTGCGGCTCTACGTGTGTGCGAGTGTGTGTGTGTGTGTGCGCATGCATGCATGTGTGTGCGTGCGTGTCTGTGTAGGAGTGGGGGGCACAGGGCTGGAAGGGCTGTCTTCACCCCTCCTACTGAGTGGATGCGTGTAGGCTGCTCCTGCTTCCAGACCAGGACAGAAGCTCTCTGACGGTCCCACCGTCCCAATCAGAAATTCTGGAATGTGTCCTGGGAGCCCAGCGTGTGTTGGTCCCCGTGTGGAAATGCGAAGATCATCCCTGCCTGTCCGCAAAGAGCATGTTGTGCGGCTGGAGAGGGGACGGTACTATGAAATGGTGACCTGAGGACCAGTGTCACGGTCAAGGCGGAAGTGAGACATCGTATCGTGGTGAACGTCTGTGCCTGACCCT